TTTTATCCGTGCACTATCTTCTTCCTTCGCGTTGCCATGAGCACTCGCTTTCTTCCACGAAGGGAAGCCGTGCTTTCTCCTCTTTCCGGTTATCTACGGGTCTGGTGCTACTTGTTTGTTGTTTGCTTGTGGTCGTCCAACCATACTTTCTTTTAATCTCCTGAGGGGTGTGGATCCGTGTCTTGAACGGGTATGCTCGGGATGTTGGTTGTGGTTGTTGCCGTTGGTGTTGTTGTTGTTGTTGCTCTTGTTGTCGTCATCGATTTTACAACAATCTTCTTTGCTTGCCTTGTTTTTCTCGTTTCTTCGGATCTTGCGTGAGGAGGAAGAGGTTAGTCTCGGAGTGAAGTAGGTGGCGAAAAGCGGCAGTATCAACGAAAAAAAAATGAGGGCGTGCTGGTTGGTAGTAATGGTATCTAGGGTTAACCTTGAGTGGTGAGAGTGAGGCAAGGAGAAGAAGCAACGAGAGACCACGAAAGATCGTGCCCTTGTGCCGGCCCCCTGTTACACCGCTGGCGTCGTGCTCTTGGCAGTGGGTTCACCTGCCGCCTGAGGTTAGCTCAATGGAAAAGTAGCGTCTACAGGTGTGAGTTTTGATCCTTTTGAAGGACATGGGGAGAAAGTGCTCTTCAGTGTTTACTGGTGGGGTCGCTAATCTGATTGGCTATCTGTCCAGTCGTTGTTTCGTTGTCCGGTGCGGGGGTAAGGCAGCGCCTTGGAAAGCTACCACCCTGCAGTCCTAGTCTCTTGCGTGACGGTTTGATGAATCCTGAAATCTTCTGTCGTTCCGACATGTTTTGTCGTTGCCGATTCCGAAGGTCGGCGGGTGTTGTAGTTTTGAGACCACTGGTGGTTTGACTTTGCTCTTAATTGGCCTAAGCTTGGGGTCTTACTTTGGCGTGCTTGCCGCGTGGGTGTATGTGCGTTTCTTTGGTGCACCCCGCGGACTCCGCTGCTTGTGGTAGTCGTCGTCCTCGTTCTCACGACCCGCGCCTGAACGCGGCGCAATTAATTGCTACCATTTAGGAAATACCTCACCTGGATGCCCATGATGTACATCGGCGAGTGTTTGGTCCGTTTTTGAGCACTTTCTCTTCCCCGGAAATGACGGGAAGATTGTTTTCAAGAAGGTACACGTCCTCCTTCTGCACGTCTCGTGCTACATCGCTCGGGCATGGTTGTGGACACGCCAATAGAGGTGACACGCAGAAAGGAGGAACAAACCTCGTCGAGAAAATACTCCACCTTCCTTTCTTCTGCGGTGCTTGGCGTGTTGTTTCTGTTGGGGAGGATCATCAGCCGTTTCTTGTCATCTCCCTCGTCAACCCGTCGCGTTGAAACATGCAACCGATCCCGGCAGCGCTAAAGAAACAGAAATCAGTATAGTTTGTGGTGACTTTACGCCGAGATTCGATGTTGCCCTCCACGCCAACGCTGCCTACATACAGTCATCACCTTTGGGTACAATACACCGCGTACGATCCCCTCGGGATAAGAAAACCAAGGTTGGGTTCGGTGGTGCGGACGCCTTCTTTCTGTCTAGGGATCCTGAGCCTTGAGTCCCCAGTCGTACATCCCTCTCCTGGAGATAACCACCCCCGCTTCGGTCACTCGCAGTTCGTACGACCGATCTGTTCGGCGGAACCCAAAACAATATGGCCCAGACTTCCGGAGCACGACGATTCCGTCAACCGATACTCCCTGCGGCTGGAGGTATGCACGTATGGGGTTCCGCACACAAGACGGGTTGAGAGGGGCGGGGTCGGGGGGTTTGTGCCAAGGGACATAATATTCTGTACATGTTGATGGGGGGAAGTTTTGTGTGCCATAGATTTGGCATATGTACCACCGCGCCTAAAATGTAGTACCAAAAGCTTTCAAAGGAGGGGAAGGGAGCGCACCGGGGTGAAAATTAGTAAAACGGGGGACGGGGGGGACACTGCAGGGTGCATGGACGAAGTGGCCAACAATTCCACTAATTTGAACCATATCATTGACCTCGGGATCGACCCCAACCAACGCACGTTATACATTCCATCATTATCCGAGCTACTACGGCGGCTACAAGTTTCTTGCTGTCTTCCAACGTACCAGGCCGCCCTTGTTGGTGATGGAGAGCGTCGCCTCGCCCATGTACGCCTCCACGTGCTCCCTCGCCCTTCTCCTGAGGAAGCCGTGCTTCCCGAAGGGCATGAAGCCCATGAGGGTGGCCAACTTCCCCTCCCGGAGGGTCCGGCCCTCGCGAGCCACCCTCTTCTTCTCGAGCCCAGCCACAATGTTCTCGGATCGAAGTGCTCGGACCTTGGACATTTTCCTCGGGTTGGCCGTGAGCAGGGTTCGGTTATTCTGCGTCACCGGACCGGTGGTGTTGCCGTCTGCGTCCCGCGGAGCATTGCCGATAGCCGTCGCGAGGATTACGGAGCCGTCAGTGGGGGAGGCGTAAGCCATGGATGTTCTGGCCGGGTTGAGGAGCCTCGCGAGCAAGACTTGTCCTTCAGGGTGAAGTCGGGGTGGAACTGTAGGTCCGGGGTGGGTGTACGAGCTGCGGTCGCTGTTGCTGTTACCGCTGTTGTTGTTGCTGTTGCCATTGTTGTTCCTGTTGCCGTTGTTGTTCCCGTTACCGTTGCTGGTATTTTCGCCGGTACCGTTGCTCTGGCCGTTGCACTGGCCTCGCTGCTGCTGGTTCCGTGTCTTGTTCTTACTACCAGTCCACGTATTGTGTTGAAGGGCTGTCGAAGGACTCCTGCCCCCACCGCCGCCCTTGTCCCCGTCCACGTTGACGGCGCTGCCAACGTCGCGAGCCTCACGGGCCTTGCCCGTGATCAAATCGGCCATGGACATGCCCAAGGCGGGGTTGTTGCCAACGTTGGCCGGGGCCGAAGCCTTCGGGTCGACGGCAGAAGACTGCGAAGACCCAGCGGGGGCGGCGGTGGCGGTGGACGCGGGGCCAATGTTTGCCGCGGCGGGGCTCTTGTCGTCGCCGTCATCGCTGTCGTCGGGGTCAGCAACAGAAGATAAAGACTTCCGGTCGGGGGACGCGGCAGTAGATGAAGATTTGGGGACGACGGTAGCAGCAGAAGGGTCAGGGTTGATGAACGACAGGTTGATACCCGTGACGTCGTCGTCGTTGTCCATGCGGATCCTCGCGTACATGATGTCCAGCCTCCAGCGCAGTTCGGGGTCTGTAGGCATGGGCGTCTCGACAGGGTCGGCCTCCTTCTGTCGTAAGTTTGGAAGCGCGTTGTACGTTAGGGGGAGGGAGGAACGGAAGAAGAGAGAGGAGGTCAGTCAGCGACGTCGTACGGAGTCTGTGGTAGAAACAGCGGCAAAATATCTTCCAAAGTACGGCATTCTGGTCGAGATACTGCGCGCCGGGGAGGTGGTGGGGATGGTCAATGCGAGCAACCCGTCGTTATGAAGATGACTCTGCTGATTCTTCCTGACCTACTTTATTGTAACACGGTACGGAGAAACACCACTACTTACTTGGAGGAAGTACTGCTGTCTTTCGAAGACGAGCCACAGAGTGCAATGTTGGCATTACTCTGCATCCGGGCAAGTCCTTTCGTGCTTTAGTTTGGGCTACAGCAGCATTTGCTCGTATGTAAACTGTCCATGTAAACTGTCCATGTGCAGCGTAGTCTGGTCCATGTAGCTTCCCACAAGAAAGCTGTGTCGAAACATTAGTTCCGGACCAAACATGTCACCCACCCACATTTCTAAACGGCCACGCATCATGTTCGTGTGTCTGGATTCGAGCATGGTAGATCTGCTAAAGCACGGGGGGGGGGTACGTAGACAGGAGCATGCGTATGCCTGAATATGGCTACTATGTGTGGGCCCCCTTCCCCGAATTCGGGAGGGCCACTTCTTCCCTTCCTTTCCTCGCTCCCGCGGGTGCCTAATCAGAGAGAGTTAAAGCGTGTCTTCTCCTCCCAAGTACGGACATACCAACACACTAGTGTTTATTCCCTCGAGGGAGTCCATTAGGGATGGCGGGCCGCAGAACCGGAGGGACCACTCCGGACGGCTCGCAGGCAGGAGACACAAATAGCAGCGAGCAGATCGACAGCATGCGGTCTGAGATCAGTTCGCTGACACAGCAAATGGGCCAGCTGGTGCAGCTGGTCGGAGGACTTGCTGCACGTATAGAGGAGAAGTCCGACGGTGCCACGGAGGGCGCCGCTGAAAGCGGCGGCGCCGTGGAGAGCGTCGCCACCAGCACTGCAGGTCATTTGGGACCGTGCAGTACGACGGGAGCGCGAAGGCAGCGGACCTGCGAAGAGAGTCTGGTCCTTCGGGACGACACAGCGGCGAAGTAGGGGGTTCAGACCCCCAAG